CGCTCGTGACTCCCCCCCCCCCCTCCGGGGTTAGGAGTGAGTTCGAGGGGAACCCGGCCAGGGGGCGGCGAGGAGCTCCCACGGGAGTCTCAGAAATGGACACACACACACACACACACATGTTACAAATTTTGATCGTCTATCCTTCCTCCCCTCCCTCGATCTCGATCCTCCCACCTCCTCCTCCTCCTCCTCCTCCTCCTCCTCCTCCTCCTCCTCCTCCTCCTCCTCCCTCCTCTCCTCCCTCCTCTCTCTCCTCCTCCTCCTCCTCCTCCCTCCTCCTCCTCCTCCTCCTCCTCTCTCTCCTCCTCCTCCTCCTCCTCCTCCTCCTCCTCCCCCGTCCCTCGATCCTTGAGCTCCTCTCTCTCTCTCTCTCTCTCTTTGGGGCTCCCCGTGCGGAAGAGCCGCCTGGCGCTGTCGGGGCAGCTCTGCATGGTCAACCAGCTGGGCCCGTCGCTGGCCCAGGTGGTGCTGAGGATGCTGAGGCTCCGCGGCGGCGCGGCGCCAGCTGCCGGTTGGACCCTGCCGTCGCCGGCGTCACCCATCGTCATCTTCCTTGTCTCTCCTCCTTCTCCTCCTCCTCCTCCTTCTCCTCCTCCTCCTCCTCCTCCTCCTCCTCCTTCTCCTCATCTCTCCTCTCTCTCTTTCTCCTCTTGCTCCTCCTCCTCCTCTTCTTCCTCCTCCTCCTTCTCCTCCTCCATTCCTTATCCTTCGAAATCATTCCTCCCTGTCCCATCCCGAGGCCAGTTTTTGGGGCGGGCCGGGCGTTTCGCCTGAGACTTCCTCACCATTTATGATTCAGAAGCTAAAACATTGGCAACAGCTTCACAGATGGAGGCCGGGTCGTTTTCAAAATGTGGCTCTCGCCTTAGCGCCGCGCACATTCGTTGTTGAAAGGTCGAAAGAGTTTCACGGATGGAGGGCGGGCCGTATGCAAGATGTGGCTCTCGCCAGAGCGCCGCGCATATTCGTTCTTGAAATTGCAAGAGCTGCATGGATTGAGGGCTTATGATTTTCACAATGTGCTTATCGCCTTAGCGCCGCGTGCATTCGTTTTTTATAGAAATTGCAAGAGTTTCACGAATTCCGATGATCAGCGTTCCAAGAAGTTTGTTTTGGAAGGATTCAGGATTGTGCGGGTGCAACAGTTACGGTGATTCGCGATGTTGATGTGCCAGGAGTGGCGCTCTGGCACGATTCAGGATCGTCAAGACGCAGCAATCAGGTTGATCCGTGGCGTTGGAATCCCGAGAACAATGGTTTAGCATGCTTCAGGGTCTTCAAACGGTTGTCTTCCAACGAGGCAGTTATTTCAATGGAAATGAACATTGTAGGGGCTGATGAAGAGGGAGCTTGGAGGGAGGGTCGGTTCCAACATCTTTGATGACTCTTGGGTTTTCACAAGCCCTCCTCCTCCTCCTCCTCCTACTGCTCCTCCTCCTCCTCCTGCTGCTCCTCCTCCTCCTCCTCCCTCTCCTCCTCCGTTCTCCTCCTCCTCCTCCTCCTCCTCTCCTCCTCCTCCTATCTCCGCCGCCTCCGTTCTCGAAGTGGGGTGCTTGACTTGGGCATAGATGAGGCCCAGAGAGTTCTGCGCCAGAGGCGGCCGCGGCTTCCGGTGGCTGATGAGCCGAGCGCACGGCCTCCATAGTGTCAGGCGGTCTCTGCTTGTGTTTGCGGGTCTTGCCTGCATGCGGCCCCGACGTGTTTGATCTTGTTTGGTTTCTTTCTGGCCTTCTCCAATTGCTCCTGGGCGCCTCGGGAGACTTACAGGAGCCCTGGTGGGGAGCGAGGTGCGAGGACCGAGGAGGCATCTGCTTGGCCGACTCTTGCTTTTGGGGGCCCGCGGAGATCGCCAGAGACCTCCTTGGGGATTCCTGGAGACGCCGGAGCGTGACACTCGCACAGCACTCGCCACACGCCGCCCTCCACGATCCTTACCATACGAGCCTTGAGTACGATGGAAGGAGCAGTGGGCAGGATGGGCCTCGTGCATTATATCGTCGTCCTCGTCCTCTTTGTCCCATCCGCGGGTATTCATGAGTATACTTTTCGTCGCAGTTTCGTTCCTATGGTGCTGCAGCAGAAGAGGGGCGCGTGGTCCTCATCATCGTCCAGGGCCTCTCGTGGAGGGGGGAGAGCACCCAAAAGCCCCACCCCCAGGTGACGACTCCCCGCGCGGACGCCTGAAATTCCCGAGAGGTTCGGGCTCTCACGGGTCCCGGTCCCGAGGCATCCATGAGCGTACAGTCGAATAAGAATTAGGTCGTCAGCAGGGGCGCGGTAGCAATTGCGAGTTGTGCATCGCGGCCTGCTTCCTCCTCCTCCATTCTGGACCTCCTGGATGGGGTCGGGGCAGATGGGCTCGGGGGATCGCGCCGCATCGACGATGCGTCGGCGATGCTTCTCGCTGCGGAGCCTGCTTTTCCGCACGCCGAGGCACCGATGCATCGCCGACGTCGCTGATGCATTGCCGATACATCGACGATGCACTGGCGATGCGGTGCGATCCTTCGACCCCATCTACTCGAACCCCGCGCAGGATGCCTCTATCCACCTCGTCCTCCTCTCTCCAGCTCTCCTCCCTAAGCATGCGTACCTCCTCCCTGGCGCACACCCGGGCGTGTCAGCAGGGCGGGCTCTCCCCGCAGCTTCGACGCCGCGCGCTGCGCTTTCGTCCAGCGTGGCCCCGCCGTTGACGCCGAGCAGGGCCAGGCGCCTCGCCTTGAGTTTCTCTTCGCCATGTTAGGGCCCTGAACGGAATCTGCAGCAGCTCCAAGGACGGGGGTGGGGGTCGAGACGGGGCTCTCGCCGTGGCGCCGCGCGCAGTCGTCCTGCAACCTGCAAGTCTTGCGGCCGCTGTACGGAGGGAGCTTTCGCCCCAGCGCCAAGCACATTCGTTTTTGCTGTTTTTGAAGTTTGCGACGGCGTCCCGGGTGGAGACGCAATGGGGAAGTCGCCTCGGCGCCGCGCCAACCCGTTCTTCATGTCTGCAACAGCTTCAATGGATGGAGGGCGGTTCTTTGCCACAATGGGGCCCTCGCCTGAGTGCCCCGGATTGCCACGGACATTCGTCTTCACAAGCTTGCAACGGCTTCAAGGATGGAGGGCGGCTAAGTTTTCAAAACAAGGGTTCTCGCCTGCGCGCCACGCACATTCGTCCGTAATGCGTGCAACAGCTTCAAGGATGAAGGGAGGCTCTTTCTCAACATTGGGCTCTCGCCTGAGCGCCGAGCGCATCCCTCACAACAGCACGCAACGGTTACACAGACGGAGCTTCCTTTCAAAATGAGAATTGCCTCACCCGTTCAAAAACCAAGCGCGCGCAGATGTAGCAGCTGTACGGATGAAGGACGGCTGCTGTTCAAAATGGGGCTCTCGCTTGAGATCCCGTCGGAGTCCATGGCCAGAAGTGTGAACGTGTGCCACACTTCACACATGGGGGCGGTCCCTTTTTCCGAAGTTGGCATCTCGTTTGACACTGCGCTGAACTATATGGTCAGACTCTTTGTGGGCCCCGGAAACGGCAGGGCCGTTTTGTCACCGTTTCCAAAAAATGTCCATTGAAAATGGAAGCGGCAAAAAAAGGCGACCGGAAACGGCAAAAAAAGCGGCTCCAGGATTGGAACCGGAGCCGGAACCGGTCAAAAAACGGCGACGGAACCGGTAAAAAAACGGCGTCGAAACCGGCAAACAAAACGGCAAAACGGAACCGGTAAAGAAACGGCCTTGTCGTTTCCAGGGCCCACTAAGGTCAGATTTATTAGCATATTTTTGTTGCCCTCCGGAAGATGCTATGCTTTTTTGCTGTCGCAAACCTGTTCTCGCCTGCCTGGCATACCCACAGGGCGCTGGTCTTTCAAGGGGGCGCTCCTTGCGGTGCGAAGGAATGCGTACTCTGACCCAGCAGCATCGTTGCAGTATTTTGGGGCTCCCTCGGGTTCTCTTCAGCATCACCCCAATGTATCATCATCTTTGCTCGGGGCCTCCAGGGGACTTCGCAGGTCCTTGAAGGATTCTGCAAGCCGCCACGGGGCCAAACGCGCGCGAAAATCGTGATGCTCGATACTCCCTGTCCCGGCAATCCGACGTTTTCAAAAATTAGATCATCGTGTAAAAGCCAGGACTGGAGCCGTTGGTCCCGTCTTCCTGTTGCAGCTTTCGAGCCAGGTCGATCCGTGAGGGTCCCAGGGCCGGGAATCATGCGAAAACGCTTGGCGCAAGGGCAGTGCGACGCCGAGACCCTCAGCCCTCCCGGGCCGGCGGCGGAGCCCCCTCCCAACTAGGCTTGGGGCCACTGGGGGGCAGGGCCGCCCCAGTTCCCTCCTGCGCGGCTCTGGCACCACAGCCCCCCAGGCCAGCGGGAGTTCGCCTCCCCGTTGGTACTGGGAGTCGGCGCCGGGATCGCTTCCATGTCTCCAAGGGGCGCAGCAGGGATCGGCTACACGCAAGAGTTGTGGAGGACGATCAATGAGGAGGAAGCAGGCTGTCAAATAATGCCCAGATGCCTAAAGCATGTTTTTAAACATGTAAAAACATGTTTAGAACAATTTCATAAACATTGTAAATTCAAGGACAGGGCTGTTAGGGTGTCCATTGTCGTGGCATCCACAACGCAAGAGTGACCTCTCGCTGGAGTGACCTTTGGCGCGGGCACCCGGGGGCCCGCCAGATGGCGGAACGCCTTCGGGTGTGGCCCCCCCGCGCCCCTTGAAAGTCGCGCACCAAAGGTTGCTCTTGCCTGGATCCCCCCTCGAAATCAAACGTATTTTTTTCCCGCGGCGTGGCGGCGCCTGAGGACCCCCAAAATGCTCGATGTTCGCGCCGAAAGTGGCGACTGGTAACGCAACAGTCTGACACCGTGGGCCGCGTTTCGCGCGTGAACCAACATTAAACATTTGCGTTTGATTTCGAGGGGGGTTGTAGGGTCGCTCTTGCGTGTCGCCGAACGGGGCGTGCTGTGATGATGCCAACCGCTCCTTGAGTGCCCCCCGCCCCTGGAGGACAGCGACTCCGACGGGGACGAGGTGCCAGAGGGCGGCAGCTCCCGCAGCCGGACGGGCCCTCTTCGGCGGCGTCTCCTGCTGCTTCGGGGCTGCACCTACCCCTCCTCCCCCCCGCTTCTCCCTCCCACAGTCCTCCCTCCTAATTTCCTCCTGTTCCTCCCTCTCCTTCTCCTCCTCCCCCTACTCCTCCCCTTCCTACTCCTCCTCCTCCTTCTCCTCCTCCTCCAACTCCTCCCCTTCCTACTCCTCCTCCACCTCCACCTCCTCCTCCTCCTCCACCTCCTCCTTTTTCGACGTCGAGCAGACATGAAGGACTGAGCTTGTTGCGTCGTACCCCTCCTCCTCCTCCTCCTCCTCCTCCTCCTCCTCCTGCTCCTCCTCCTCATCATCATCATCAGCAGCAGCAGCATCATCAGCATCATCAG